CAAATTAGTTTTGTCGGAATACTTTTTTTTAGATTAATTATCGTAGATAATGTTTTAAAAAGAATTAATCACATTTTTAATTTATATGTCTTAGCTAAACATAGTATTAAATAAAAATTTGTGAAACGTGACTGCAAAAAACACCATGGTGTTTATTTATAATAAATTTAAATTTTGTTATATTAATATTAATATATAATTAATATTTTGTTAATATTTGTTAGAGAAAACTGATATTAGCGTAGTAAAAATTAAACAAAAAATATTTTTATTTATCTATAAAAAATTGGTACCTGCGAAACCATCATAATAGTAAATGTATTTATCTGGCAAGTATTTCGAGGCGACGCACTGCGAGGAAAAAGTTCTCTGAATGGAATATACATTATTTTAATATATTTATAGGTTGCAGTTACATAAGAAAAGTATCCAATTGATGAATAAAACACAAATCGTGGATAGTTATTTCATCATATCAGTGGCATTTCAGCTCGTCATGAGCCAAAGGCTTCTTCAGAACAATCTTCCATTCGCCCCTGCCTCTGGCAACTTTCTCCATGCTTTAACTCCGATGGATTTTAGATCATCCTCTATGTTATCTTGATACCTAAGTTTTGGTCTTCCTCTGGGTCGTCTTCCCACTGGTCCTCTTCGGTCGAAAATTTTTCTGATCGTTTCATCTTCATCTCACCTAATTACATGTCCTATCCATCAAAGGTGTACTAATTTAATAAATTTTACAACGTCAGGTACTACACCTGAAGAAGCATCGTAGTTTACTTTATACGATCTTTTTGACCAAGCACCATCAGCTATAACGGTTATTAACCCATTTCCGTCGGAATCTACTTCACCAATTTCTTTGGCTAAAGCTAATTCCTCCCGTCCAGCCTCTTCTAAGGAATCACAAAGTGTTTGGCCGATGATATCTGCAACTGTTTCCGTATGTTTTGCATACTGCCTGTAGGAAATCACAGGTATATTTAATGCAGCGTGCTGCTGCTGTATGTCTGAATAACCAGAACCATTCAAGTTCAGTGAATTGTTACCAGAATTATATGTTGCTATCTCCTTTTCAATATTCCACATTTGACATTTAAAAGTCAATGTACTTATCAATCCGTCCATTTTTTCTTTGATAATCTCCATATTAGAAAAGTTGCATGAAAATGGAGAATGATTATTCAAACCTTGAATATATATATATATATATATATATATATATATATATATATATATATATATATATATATATATATATATATATATATATATAGCTATATATAGCTAAGTTAATTAAAAGCTTTTAAAAACGGTTGTAATATAAATAATAAATACTAAAGCAGTGCAATTGCTCTCCTTTTCCTTGACATAGGACGTTTACTGGGACTCATTTTTTATCTTGTCTCTTATAACTAGTGATGTGCAAATCAGAACTGACCCGATTCAATGAGCCGAATCTTCAGAAAGATCCAACTGACCCGAATCTCAAAATTAAATCTTACGGATCACGGGTCAGTAATAAACACAATATGACTCGCGAAATGATGTAGTTCTAAGCGAAAGCGAGGAGTCAGCTGAACACTGAATCCCAAGTTCTTAGAAACAACAATAAACAGATCCGAATCTTTTCAGATATTTTGCGGTCTTGCTTGTTTGAAACGAACGTGAATCGTGAATTGATGTTCGGACGTCGGTTGTCATTACGAGGGTATTTAGGAGAGCAAATTATTTTACTGATAATTATAAGGTGTTAAATATTAATTAAAAACTATACTTATAATATAATATCGGCAAAAAATATGTATATATTTGTTGGCTTTCCAAGTGATTATTTTGGTTATTATATATTCTTTTGTATTTCTTGTATTTTTGGTCACAATGGTATTTGTTCAGAGCAAGTAATATTAATGGTATTCCCCGAAATATTTTATTACACGGCGTCTTATTCGTTGCATAATAATAATAATAATAATTTAGTAAAAGACCTACAAAACCTTTTGTACTTTTTACATTAAAGAGACCTTAGAAAGGTATGCTTAAACTAGCATGCTTAAAGAAACGTCTAGTTATTGTGTTATTGATATATAATTAGCTTAAAAAAAATTAAATTTAAATTTTAAGTTTAATTAGGTAAAATTTAATAGATCAAAGTAAATTTTTGGTTGTCATAACATTTACTTGTAACATTGAATAACAACTACATAATAACACAATGCTCTTACACTCGATTATCCACCCACACCTACCGCTAAAATTATAGATTTGGTTTGCATATGATCTGTACTGACCCGTGACCCGACAAGTGATCCGGTTCTCTTAAGTGAACCGGAACCGGTGACCCGAATCTTAAAGATGACCCGAAATTCCCGTCACTACTTATAACTTATATCACTAACCTAATGTAATACTTAAAAATACGCGTAAACTAAAGAACTTTTAACTTATACCACTAAACTAATAATATATTACTTAACATACACGTAAACTAAATAATTTCAATGTTTTCAAAATAAATAAGAATACTGTAAACTGTAAAAACTTAGCAAGTTGATAAAGAAAATACAATAATGAAAGAACTAAAATGGATTCTAATTCAAGCGAACTAACTGACCGTACCCATAGAGAAATAAAAATAAGACCGTACCGTACGCTCATGTGATTTGACGTCACTAATGCGATAACGATCAAGCTCAGCGACAATGATGAGGAACACGTTTCACTATTAGATTTCAGTATTTTTTAGCAATTTTCTTCAAAGTTTGAATACGCTTTTCTCGATTATTACTGGACACAGAAAGGTGAAAAAAGAATCAACTGACAATGAAAAAAAAACTCTTTCAACTGATGGGCGTGAAAAGTTTGGTTATAATAGAACGTTAAACAGTATAATCCAATTTTTCAACACAAAATTCAAAAAAATAAAAAAAGTAAAACCATCAATTTAAAGGCAACATAATTTCGTATAACATGTCCAAATTTCGAGACATTTCGTCGGTAAATAACAGAGAAAAAATTTTGGTGCACCGATAAAACAGCCTTAATTGAAATCTCAAAATCCCAAATTATTCTAACTCTCCTAATCAAAATATTTATATCCTTTCTAAATTAAGTGTAAAAATTGTGTTATCAATAAAAGGAAAACTGCAGAAAACAAAAATATCTCTCTCTGATGATGAGTGGTCCAAATCCTTGTTCCTTGTAGACTATATTATCTACTCTCAGGCGCTCCCTAGGTAATCAGCAATCTTACAACAAATTATTGCAAGTTTATCGTCCTTAATGATCTCCTTCAAATGCACGAATCGTTCAAATTATGCTAGCTTCTTCTTCTCTCAATAAACTGAATCTCTCGTTGACCTGAGTGAAAAATGACTCTTGGAATATCTTTTCTTTACGATAAACTGAATCTCTCGTTGGCCTGAACAGTGACTCTTGGAATATAAGTAGAAAAATATGACTTACAATCTTTTACTGGATCAGCTTCTGTCAGATACACTAACTACACGAAAACTCACAAACTTTTACTGCTACTGCTTCCTACCTCTGAGAAACTACCCGAGAAACAACGGCCGTTCGCCTTGCACCCTTGGAAACCAACTGATTATCTTTTCTCTCTCAAAAATCTAACAAAACTTTTATTCCTACATACCTATCCCACCTTTTTTAATCTCCGCCAATCAAAGCTCGTCACAATTCTCCCATTTTTTCATTTCGATAACAAACAAATTTTTACCTATAATTATAAAATTTCCTAAAACTTATTTATTTACAAATAATATTTTTCTACAATTCTTAAAAACTAACAAAAACCTCTTTCTAAAATCTATTCTATTGTCCTTAATCACTGCATTATTGTATTTGGAAAACCCGGTTCAATTGTCTTTGGATTTCACTTAAAATTATGCGGGTCACTCAAGTATATTATAACAAAGAAAATAATTTATGCATAGCTTACATTTTGTTTAATACAGGTAATCCAAAAATTTAAAGACTTTCCTTCTTCGAAATGTTTGTTGGTTATTATCCTACTTATCTAAATTATTTTAATGTTTTTGAACTTTGAAATATTTTAAACAAACCAATATTTTTCTAGATTTTACATATCATAACAATATATATATATATATATATATATATATATATATATATATATATATATATATATATATATATATACTCTATTTACAAAACGAACTTATTAGAAATGTTATAAAATCTAATTATAGTTACTTATGTAATTATCTAGCACTTTGTCTTTGTTTTTTTTAAGGTCTGCCTTTCACTACTTCTCTCATTGTAAAGATATGGCTTATTTTTATGTACTCCCTTTATTAGATTAGGTTTTTTAGTTTAGGTTAGATTTTTTCCCGAAAATCTAACCTAAATTTACAATTAAGCTATTTAGAATAATGATTTACTTAGAGATCTCAATTGACATTTGCAATTTATAATTTACATTATTTCTATGATTACTACCTTGATTTGTCAATAATTACATTGCTAATGCTTGTTTTCTTGACATTTATGACAATTTTTTATATGTAATCTCACATATTTTTTCATTAAACATTTAATTTTAATTGTATGTATAATTTATATATATATATATATATATATATATATATATATATATATATATATATATATATATTGATCTTCCTTGTGTCCTTGTATGCTCAGTCAGCGACACAGTTGACTTCATAGGACAGAATGGATAGTTAATGTGCTTCTAATTCTTGTATATTTTCACATCCCTTAATCCTGGTCAATAACTAATTCAACTCAGGTTATCAGTATTTATGAATTAGAAATTGACATTATTATAAATTAATTATAATAGTTAATGTTTAAGGATTTTTCACTAAATTTTTCTAAATTGTAAAAAAGTTCATCTAGATCATAAAAATATCCATTATTTTTTTTTTGTATTTCAGCCTTGGTTTAGAACCTTTAGCCAAATATCCATTATAGATAACCAAAAACTGGTTTTTGTTGCACTAAAGTTTATTAAGTGTATAATTTCATCTGTATGGAAAATTGCATAAAACTAATTTTGCACATTTAATGATCCTCAATTGCACTATTAGATATCTTTTCAAACTATTCAATTTCCTAGTTTTAGACTAAATTAAATTTTCTGCAATGTGTATCGTCAAATGAGTTTTAAATCACCTATATGTGTAAACTGCTTGAAAATTTCACGCTTGTAAGGCTTTTCTCAAGTGTGAAATTTCAAATGTCTTTTCAAAGTATGTCCTTGGCTAAACTGCTTTAAACAAATTTCACACTTGTAAGGCTTTTCTCCAGTGTGAACTCTCATATGTGTTTTCAAAAAAGTTATTTTTCTAAACTGCTTAAAACAAATTTCACACTTGTAATGCTTTTCTCCAGTGTGAATTTTTATATGATCATTTAAAGTACTTTTATGAGTAAACTGCTTAAAACAAATTTCACACTTGTAAGGCTTTTCTCTGGTGTGAGATCGCAAATGGGTTTTCAAATGAGATGTTTGTGTAAACTGCTTATGACAAATTTCACACTTGTAAGGCTTTTCTCCAGTGTGAAGTTTCATATGATCATTCAAATTACTTGCTTTACTAAACTGTTTAAAACAAATTTCACATTTGTCGGGCTTTTCTCCAGTGTGAAATCTCAAATGTATTTTCAAATTAACTTTCTGAGAAAACTGCTTAAAACAAATTTCACACTTATAAGGCTTTTCTCCAGTGTGCAATCTCAAATGTGTTTTCAAATTAGAGTTCTGAGAAAACTGCTTAAAACAAATTATACATGTGTAAGGCTTTTCTCCAGTGTGCCCTTTTATATGTCAGTCCACTGAACCTGTTGTTTCTTCAGTATCTGCATTTATTTGTTGTTCTGTAGTGCATGCAAGTTCAGTTTTCATGATTTCCATTCTGTTTTGAGACAAACCTAAAATAAAGATAAAGACTATAAAAAAAATTTTATGTGCGAACTACAGAGTAAAATGAAGAGTAATGAAAGTTAGTAGTAGAATGAATACAATAAATAAAACTGAAACATACTAAAATACCAGGTACTGATATTCTAGGAAAACATGATTTTTTTTTAAGGAAAACAATCCAATAACTAACATCAGCAATGTAGTGATATTAAGAATTTACGCTAATTGAAAAGGAACAAGAATAGTGCCATAGTATTATTATTGCTAATATATGAGAAAATTAAATGGAACAGTCTCTCTTACATGTTAAGCCTGTTTTAGACTATACTTTTTTTGTTAATAGAAAACGATAAAACAAAATAACTTAAAATGATTGTATACAATATTAAACAAGAAGTTTTGTGTATTTACATTGTCACATTTTCATACTAGAATATGTTATGTGATTCTCGCATTACATGCTAAAAAGTATGTTTATGTTGGTATATCAGTATCATCGAGCAAAAAGATAAAAGAGGGAATCTAATCATTATGAAAAGGAGACCAAAAAAGTGGCCTCTGATGGCGAACATATCCGGAAATGCAAAGGCGCTAAATTTAAATTTTCCAACACTTGTTAACAATACCTGTAAAATATTTTTCAGACAAGAAAGTTTTAATTAAATATTAACGATAATAGTCTAAAAAGTGACATAATTGGTAAAAAAACTTCAATATAAATAAAATTTCATGTGACAGTTGGGACAAACAATGACATAACCAAACTAAATTTGACTTCTTAAACAAGGAAAGAGACTGTGTTTCCTTGTTTAAAGTGGCCTCTCAAGATAGCACTTCCTGTCTAACAATATTTTTGTCCCCGCTACCTTTACATTCCCTCTTTTATCTTTTTGCTCGATGATCAGTATGTACTGTTAACCTCAATGTTCTTCTTTTTCTTTTAACAATATTTTAACCTCATTTTTCCCATAGATGTAATAATACAAATTTTCCCCTAGTTTTACCTTTGTTATTTTATATGAGATATATTATATGATGGATAAGAAAATTCTATTATTATCCGCTGGTTCTATTGCAACATTTCTTCTTATTAAAACAAGCAAGAAAAAACGCCAACGAAATATGTGGTAGAGCTTGGCTTCAGAAAAGACAGGAAGGTCGTGGTGTTTTAAGTATGTTGAAAACAGAACTTAAAGACAATGAACCTGAAAAATATAGGCAGTTTTTAAGAATGTTTGAGCCACAGTTTAATGGACTTCTTGAGCTTATTTGAAAATATATTACCAAACAGGATACAATTTTAAGACAAAGTATATCTGCAGAGAATAGGTAAGTAACTCTATTAAGAATATCAAGTTTTGCAAATAATATTCAGTTATGGTTTTGATTTTAGATTGGCTTTAACTTTACATTTCTTAGCAACTGGTGAATCTTATTGTTCTTTGATGTTTTCAGCTCGAATTCATGAAAGTATAATTAGTTTGATAGTACCAAAAGTATGTAAAGTGATTTACCAAAGAATGAAGGTTCTGTACCTTGGCAAAATAAATGTATTATGTAATTAAAATATAATTGTACATATTCATATTTAATAAAACACAATTTTTATTGTAATCTTTCTATTATTTTTTACCAACTAGATGTATAAATTACATACTATTTTTTTTATTCTAGCTCTTAAGTTTGGCTTCATACAGAATATTGTCAATTTTTTGTTTAACTTGTAACAATCTTTTTTATTTTTGAAAGTCTCTCTGTCCATAACCAGAGTTTTCATCCTCATTTGATGCACTACTTATAGCATGTGCAATGCTGTCTAAAGCATCTGACACTTTATCTCATACACTTCATCTGGAGTTTCTTGAACCTCATTTGAAAGAGGTGATAAAATGCCATCATCACCTACTTCATACACTATATCTAAATAGTTACTTGATGTACTGGCTGTTTCATTGATATTAAATGATGACACTGCCTTTCTAATGGTATGGAATTAATTTAAAAATTTAAGCTTATTGTTGTATTATAGTTTTGGGATATATATATATATATATATATATATATATATATATATATATATATATATATATATATATATGTCTGCAAACATATAAATATGATTAATAAACTTATTACTTACAAATTCTGTAATGTATTTTACCTCATTTATGCCAGTACCACTTTTTTGCGATTCTAATACTTTTATTCTCTCTGCACTATAAGTATTTCGGATTCCATTCCTCTTCCTTTGTATATCAGAAATTGGTTTTTAAATAATTTCGCTTAACTAATTTAAAGCCACATTTCTTTTCTGTTTATTATGATAATCTTAGCGTAATAATCTTAACATTAAAAAACAAGGATTTGATTCATACCCTTCTATCAACTGAATTATATTATCCATTGACCAAGACATTTTTATTAATTATGTATTTTAATGCAAATACAAGACCCAACTTTTAGATCAAAACAAAAACAAGTTAACCTTAAAGGTCGATTCAGACACATCAGTCATGTCTCGTCACAGTGATTGAGCCGAACCGAACAATCCGTCATACAAAATATTCTTTAATACAAATATGTTGCCGGCATTCACACTCATCAGTTGACAAACAGTTTCCCAGCTGTCAGATAGTTGATAGTTCTGTGAACAAACAGGACCACTTCGGCCCCAAGACTATGACGGGACTGATGTGTCTGAATCGACCTTAAGAAAACCAATGTGACGGTATAACCAAAAATATTGACGCATATGTGTCTATATTCATTTTTATAATGAAAATAACCAAACTGCGCATGTGTATGTACTAATAATTGGTATGAAATCGGGCATGTTCTAATTTGTATATAATTTTTTGTTAACATATTCTATTTTACATTGTGCCAAAACTTAGTATACCATTTTTTTATGTCATTTTATAGTATAGTCTAAAACAAACTTTATATGTATATAGTTCATATTACAATTACCTCTAAGAGATCTTTGAATAAAAATTTAATTTTTAACTTTAACATAATTTAATCCAATCTAATCTATAAAAGTGACTTATAATGGAAGGGAAAGTAAAAGGAAGAAGAGGTCCAGGAAGAAGAAAATGCTCCTGGTTGAAGAATGTAAGATAGTAGACAGGTATGGACACACATTCGATACTAAGAACAGCTCAAAATAGAGAGCAATTTGCTGTAGTTATAACCAACCTTCAGTAATGAAGAAGGCACCTTAAGAAGAATTTTTAAAAAATTAAAAACCCATAAAACACAATGTAACTTCTAGTTATGATACCAAAAAGAAAAAACTGAAATTCATTATCATTATAATTGGCTCAAAAATTCTTATTAATCTTGGCCTGCTCTCAGAGAAGTCGCTACTCCAATTGATTCCTAGCAACTTCCCCACATCTTCTGACCCTTATAATCTTTGGTTCGTATGGTATTCCACATCATAAATCCATCCTCTACTTCTTCTAACTTCTGGTTTTGAGAATATCAATCTCTTTGTGTATTCATTAATTGACATCTTAGCAATCAGCTTATCAGTCTCCAGCACCAAGCACCTTAATCAATTTCACAATATCTGGATCTGTGTATAGCTAGTATAAATTAAAGTTATATCTTCTATGCCATAGACAATTTTCATTTATGATTCCAAAAATCGTTCGAAGTATCTTTATCTCAAAGATACCAAGTAGTCTCTCATCATTTTGGTATAAAGTCTATGTTTTCATGATCCAAGATATGTGAATGATTTGACTTTCTCAAAGGTATAGCTGCTAATTTTGATTTTTTGTTGATAATTTTAAGGGTTTTTAGACACCAACATATATTTTGTGTTTTCCTTGTTTACAACAAGTCCTACATCCCTTACAGCATTCATAAACTTTGTAATACTAGCAAATATTAACATTTCTGAGAAATATGTTTTTATCTTTACTTTATCACAAACTAAGTTGTAAACTATTATTTATATAATAAATGCTAGGCTAAGTGTATGAAAAATTATCTATTATATATAGATTAAATTATATTGTTTTTATTTTCTTTTACCTGAATTATCTTCATCTGTTTTATTAATAAAGTCTTTAAAATCTGGTGATGTAAATAGCTGACTCTCTATATATCCTTGATCACCTTCATTGAACTCTTGCTTAACTTTAGCTGTTAGTCCCATTTCTAATAAATACAAATTAGATCAGATTATTTAACTCAATTTTTACTACTTGTCTTACCTAAGTTATCTTCTAGTTCATTTTTGAAGTTTTTTAGATTTATGAATGTGAATGGTTGCATCTCTGTATCCTTTTGGTTATTTTCAACAAAATCTTCCTGCATTTCAACTTTAAATTCCATGGCTAACATATAAATTGAATATATTAGAAATATACAATTTCATTTACGATCTTCAATGGCAATAAAATATGTGTTCCCAGTACCATACACTACAATATTGCTTTAAAAAGAATCTTTTAAGCATTACTTGGTCCCACCAGACAGAGCCTCGATGGGTCCCAGTGAAGATAGCCTCAAATTAGCTGTCAAGCTGTCAATTATGTTTCACAGAACGAAATATTGCGTTGGCAGTGTTGCCAAAATCTTAAAATGTATACTTCATCTATACTAAAACAATTTTTAATTGAAGGTGATTACTTGGCAACATCGTACTTAACGAAGTTAACTTAACGATAACTTTTCAACGAAATCGTATTGAAATTATCAATTTTACAGAGGCGTACCAAAAAAATTTAATTATTTATTTAAACACATAAGTAATTACGTAAAAATTAAATCTAAGACCGATTTAATTAGTAAATTATCATGTCTCTTTTAACAGGTATCTTATATTTGTCTAACAAAGTAAAGTAAAATTTTATTCTTATTAGAGAGTATATAATACAGAACTTTGGAACAAAAAAAAGATAACTTTGGAAAATACTTATTTTTTTTTTATTTTTTTTTATTTTTTTTAACTTAATTTTAAAGTTTCCTTGTGTTTGTTTGTTTATATAAATATGAAAATGTATTATGAAGTTCATATAAATTAAAATGAAGTAAGCTAAACTATTATTAGGTGAATGCTAGTTAATGTTTATATAGTAGTCCATTTGTTTATTTCAGTAAATTCTCGAAATATGAAATGAAGATGGCACTAACTACTAAAGAGTAAATAGCTTTGGTAGAAGAAGACTCAGATTGTGAAAATGCTGACTCGTGTGGTTTATTTGCCGCCGAGATTATAGTAGAAACTTTCTGATGTAGAACACATTGATCTTCTTCTTCTTCTTCTTCCTTCTAGTATGTAGGCTTTAAAGCCTGTTTCTTCTTCAATATTAGCCTTCTAAATTGTTTGAATTATCCTACTATCTCTTTCTTGGTCTGCCAATACTTCTTCGTCCATTTGGTGACTTATCTCGTGCTATTCGTACTATTCTATCCTCTGCCATTCTACTGATGTGTTCCACTCCTGTTTTCGTTTTGTCACCCATCCATTTATATCTTCTATATTGCATGATCTTCTTGCTTCTCCCCCTATCTCTTGTATGTTAATATAGGTCTAATTGCTGCTTTATCGACTCTTGTTTTTGTGTGTTGTCTTAGGTGTTTGTTCTTAAAGATTGTGTCTTTAAGAGAATCCGCCGCTTTACTTGCTTTTAAGCTTTGCTGTCGTACTTTTTCTTCAACATCTCCGTAAATAGTTATATCTATTCCCAGATATCTAAACCTTGCTTCCGGCTTTATTTCCCATCAATTTCGATTTTACACCGTAGTGGGTATTTAAATGTTTGTCATACATTTCTACTTTTCTGCTGATATTATCAGATTTTACTTCTTAGCTGTTGTATTGAAGCTAAGCTAATTATATGTGTTAATCTTTAGAGCTCGTCTTCTGTCTCGGCGATTAATGTGGCGTCGTCTGCATAACATAATATTTGGATTTCTTTGTTCCCCATTCATCAGCCATGACCTTTACGTACTGCTTGTATTATTTCGTCCATTATTATATTAAAGAGAAGTGGGCTTAACGAGTCACCCTGTCTGACTCCGCTTTGTACTGATATACAGTGTGTTAGTTTTCCATTTATCTTTGCCTGTATTCGATTATGGAGGTAGATGCTTTCGATGGTTTGTATAATATTGATTGGTATGTTTCTTTTATACAGTAGGTGTAAGACGTCTTCGACATGGATGCGATCGAAAGCCTTTGTCAGGTCTATAAAACATAGATATGCTGGTTTATTGTACTCGATGGCCTTTTCTGTGATTGGTCTTAGTACAAATACGGCATCTACGCAGGATCATCCGGATCTGAATCCTTGTTGTTCATCTGATAAAGTTGTTAGTTTATTGATTTTGTTGGTTAGGACTTTTGTGGTAAGCTTAAGTGCGGTGTTCAGTAGGTTTATACCTCTATAATTGTTGGGGTCTTCTTCATCTACTTTCTTGAACATTGGTATTATTATGCTGTTTCTCCATGCGTCTGGTATCTTGCAGTGCAATATTAGTTTTTGTATAAGCTTTGTCATCTGTAATGTCATACTTTCTCCTCCGTATTTTAGAAGCTCGTTGGTTATTCCGTCTGGTCCTGGTGACTTTCTATTTTTGAGTGAATTTATGACTATTTTTACTTCCTGAAAACTGATTTCCATTTCGTGTCTTAATTCAGGTACGTTATTGTGTTGATTATTATTTTCCTTTGCTTTAAACAGTTCCGTCGGGTATCTTTCCCATTCGTTTGCTGGTATATTATTGTATTCCTTGAAGACATTGATGATAATATTATTTGTGAATTATCAATAAAATCGGATATTGCAGATACATATGAAATACAAGAGATTGGGAATTCTGACGATTCTGATTATGATATTCCTCTGAACCACAGATAAAACGACCAAAGAAAAAACCAGACAAAAATAGTAAATCCAAATTTATCTTGTTGTAATAACGGATATTTATTCGTGCTCAGTGTAATTCAACATCAGTCTGATTGATATTTAGACAATATAAAAGCCAACCATGTAGGAAAGTCATATATTGAAGTTTTTTTACTCTTTTTGATAAAAAAGTAATTGAGAATAACCGTCACAATTTTGAAATTAATAACATAGATTTAAATAGAATTATTAGCATATGTATATTATCTGGTTTACACTTCGCTTTAAGTTGATATGCATTGATCAAAGGATGAGGATAAGGAAGTGCATATTATAAGAGAAAGCATGAGTCGACATAGATTTATAATTTTAATTTATAATAGTAAAGAAACCGCTACATCAGTGTCACTTAGTACATAGACGTCAATCTAAATTTGCTTTACCAGATGAAACCAGATTCGACAATATTGGCCACATTACAAAAAGAGACGATAGTGCAAAAATCTAGGATGTACAAAAGTAATACTATTTATTTATGTAAAAAGTTTAGAATGCATCTACACCCCGAATGTTTCGAAAATGTTCACCTTAAAATTTAATTTACGTTTAAGATACAATATGTTCCTTTATTAAAAATTGTACTGTTTTTATTGAAAATGAGAAAAAAAATTTTTTGATTATAAATCAGTCCTAATTTATGTGATTTTAATCGAATCTAATAAATTAATTGTCAAATTTCTCTTTGTATATTGAGCGTCCGTTAAGGGTTTAATTCTATATAAAGAATAAACTGGCCTCAAATTTACTTTACTTACCTTAAAACTATTTTAAAGTTAATAATAAAGTCTATTTAATAAATATATTCCCAATAACACACTACGCTTATGCACAAATGTTTATAATCTGGAAGGAATAAACTAAGATATCATATTTCTCTCATTAACATTCTTTCTAAGAACGTAAATATATATAGACCAGCAAAATATTGATAAGTTTGCCGATGTTTCAAACTATTCTTTGAACTTGTCTCACTATACACTCGTGAATCGCATTAATTTATATTGTTACGGAGGCAAATTTATCTTACATGGTTTACATATTTACATACTTAGATGGGCGAAGCATACACAATAAAAATAACCCCGGTAAGAATTTACTAATCAAATTTTACATGGTTGCCGCTACCGTTTAGTTCAATTTGTAGATTAGTCACCTTTAATTGAAAATTGTTCGACTATAATTTACTTACCGTTGCGCGTCATCCGCGTCATAGTACGTGAGGTCACATGATACCAACAAGAAATTATTATTTAGACAGTAGGTGTGTTCTTTTTAGAATCACTTTGCCGAGTACACTGACATTACAGAAATAGACATATTTTATTATATACGCGTAGAAATAATATTTAAAGATTTCTATTAATGTTAACTTAAAGAAATACGCAATAATTTGTTTCATTTAATTTGTATAAATGCATTATAAAGCGTTTTCATGAAGAAAATTTGTTCGGAACACACTGTAACTGTAATCGAACAAAGGTGATATTTTGGCATAAATTGGTAACACTTGTTTGACAGTTGAGGTTTTGACGCTTTTGTACTTTATTATTTTGAGTTTTAAAGTGAACACCATGTGAATACCTCTTCGTTTATATTTTTACCTATTTAATAAAATCTGTTCTTTTTAGATGTGGTGTTCTCGTGTTTCTCTTTAGATTATGGTAACCAGATATGGTGAAAATTTACCGAAAGATTACCGGTATAAGTAATCTCCCAGTTGTTGGCCAACAGCTGAGGGTGGATGAGCTGACAGGTGGTAGGGCAACTCATTGTCCTGAGGCTGAGAAATCGACCTCAAAGGCGGAAGAGCTAATATATTAGTCAACGGCATTGGGATGTAGCAGGCAACGAGAAACCACTACAGTAAAGATCCAATGGATATCTCTAGTATAGTTATCATGGCATGATAAATAATTAACAAAATCTTACTGATCATGGAGACCGGAGGCCAAGATCCGGCAAGAAAAGTGACAAGGCTTTTCGGGTCGTCAACCAACGAAAACCTTGTCAAAATATAAATATTACCAACGAAATAATAAAAATTGGAACATGGAACGCTACCAGCATGTATGAGCCAGGAAAAACACACAACGTTATTCAAGAAATGGATGCTGTCATATTAAAGATCACATAATCTACTACTCCGATAACCAAGATCCCCAACATCGTAATGGAGTGGGTATAATGTTAAAAAAAGTCTCTATCTCGTCATGTCCTGAACTTCCTACCTTTGTCCGATCGTGTTATGATGTTACAAATAAATACAAATATCACAAAAATTAATATAATACAAGTATACGCACCAACAGCGGACAAAGAAGAACATGAAATAGAAACATTTTATGAACAAATTGACTCGGCACTGAAACTGACCAAAAAAAGGGACATCACAATAATAATGGGAGATTTGAATGCTAAAGTTGGGAAAGGAAGGACAGATGATTTGGTAGGAAATTTTGGATTAGGGAATAGGAACGAGTCTGGTGAAAGACTGGTACAATTTTGCCAGGAAAACAGAATGGTAATTACAAATACCTTTTTCGAACTACCCAACCGACGTTTATATACAT